GTCTACCTGCCCTGTCATCTCCCCACTGGGGTCTCCCACGTGGCCCTGGGGCCAGACAGCACAGGCTGGGGTTTTGGTGCCCGACCAGGGCCAGTGCTGTCCCTGCCCACGCTCCTGTGCCCGGGAGCAGGAATCCTGGCTAGTGCTGGAGCTGCTGGCTCCTCCTCTGCTCCCCATGGGCCTGCCCAGGGCTGGTTGGCCCAGGCAGCAGCTCCAGGAGGTGACTCGATTCCTATCCTTGGAGGCGTTTGTGAACCAGGGGTCATTCAACAAGCATTGCTGAACTTGGTGGCTGAGCTGAAAACCCCACTAAGCCCTGAGGAGCCAGGGGGCTCTGCCCTCAGAGACCCCCAGAGTGGTCCAGCTTCACAGGCTAAACAGGGAAGCAAAGCCCCCAGTGCATATTCTTCATGGCTGGGATGGGGAGATGGGAGGCTAGAGGGAGACGGGGGAGCTCAGGATGCGAGGGAGGAGCTGCCCCAGATGTCGTGAGAGGAGGGTGGTGGGCCTAGCAGGGGCGGGATGGGTGTGGGGAGGCTGCTGCCAGGTGGGGTCTGGGATGAACATCGAGTGCTGGCAGGGACCAGGACAGAGCCTCTGGGGAGGAGTAGGAAAGGGGTGACAGGGGCCACGGCTGTGGGCGTGGGGTAGAGGGGCCTATGGAGCCTCAGGGCTGTGGAGACCCCTCCAGCAGCTGGAAAGGAGGGCGTGCAGCTCAGGAGAACTCAGCTGGAGAGCGTAGTGAGGGGCATTGCTCCTGCCTTGCCTGGCCTCCTCCAAACAGGAAATGGATTGCACCGGGCACCTCCCAGAGCTGGCTGGGCAACCGAACCAGACCCTCCCGGGGACTTTGGAAACAGCTCCCAGAGTGAGAGGAGGGCTCTCTCTCTCTCTCTCTCCCTCTCTCTCTCTCTCTCTCTCTCTCTCCCTCTCTCTCTCTCCCTCTCTCTCTCTCTCTCTCCCTCTCTCTCTCTCTCTCTCCCTCTCTCTCTCTCTCTCTCTCTCTCACTCTCTCTCTTTCTCTCTCTCTTTGAGATGGAGTTTCATTCTTATTGCCCAGACTAGAGTGCAGTGGCACGATCTCGACTCACTACAACCTCCATTTCCTGGGTTCAAGCGATTCTCCTGTCTCAGCCTCCTGAGTAGCTGAGATTACAGGCACCTGCCACTACACCCAGCTAATGTTTGTATTTTTAGTAGAGGCAGGGTTTCACCATATTGGCCAGGCTGGTCTCGAACTCCTGACCTCATGGGATCCCACCCGCCTTGGCCTCGCAAAGTGCTGGGATTACGGGCATGAGCCACCGCACCCGGCCAGGCCATCTCTCTCTTTCAGGGCTCCTGTGGGAACCCTTGTTGGGCATGTGGATGACAGGGTGAGGTAGGGCCTGGGGGAGGGGCCTTGGTGATCCAGGTTGGGGGTCTTTGCTGGCCAGTGTCCCTGGGGCCTCTGTTTCTGCCTGGACACTCAGGTGAGGGGGTGAGGCATAGCCCTGCCAGCTCTTGAAGGGGTCCTGGGGCATCTGGGAGCACAGTGAACTCACCCCGGCCATGAGACCCTGGGCCTCCCTCATGGTGGCTGCAGCGCTCAGCACGGCTCCCAGAGTCAGGAGGCCCACCAGGCTCGACCCCACAGACAAGGCTGGTTGGGAGGAGAGAGGAGGAGGGTTAGGGGTGCCCAGGACAGGTCCTGAGTGCACACAGCCCTGGTCTGAAATCTAACTTGCTTCCAGGGCACCCAGCAGCTGGGCCCTAGGGCCACATTAACAGACAGAGGGGCGGATGCAGCGTATCTCCTGGGCAGGGAGCTGCGGTCTGAGGCCCCTGCCCAGCTGGAAACCACAAAGAGCGGAGGGGAGGGGAGAGGAGGGGAAGGGAGGGCAGAGGAGAGGAGAGCAGGGGATGGAAGGGGAGGGGAGGGGAGGGGCCGCCATGGGACCCTGGAGTCCAGTCAGGGCCCCATCTGACTTGGGAGTCAGGGGCCGTGCCGGACTTCTGGGGGTTCCGAGTGGGCCCCAGTCTCTCCATCAGACAGGGCATTGAGGGAAGGAGGAGGGAGGTGGGACTTATTCAGCCCAGGGGACTGCCCCTCCTTCCCTATTTCCCTCCTTGTCCTCCCTGCCTGTGGGGCTATCTTTGAAGCCACATGCTCCCCGCCATACCCTAGTGACAAGTGGCCGGAGTGGAGCAGTAGTCTTATCAGCCCGGACCTGGACCCGGGCCCCAGGTGTCCTCCTCCAAGGAGGCCCTGGTCCTAGGACTTGGGGAAAGCAGTGGGTTCTGAAGCAGCAGCCCTGACCTCCTGGGCCTCAGTTTCCCCACATCTGCCCACTGGGCTGCAGCCCTCCTGGGCCTCCTGAGCTCCTGTCTGAGAGTCCTCCACAGGTCCGGCTCCCGCATCCCCTCATGAAAGGCGCCTTCCTCAGCCTCACCCCTGAGTGGCCCAGCGGGCCCTGGCCCTCGCTCCTGCTCTCTGGTTGTTGGATAAGTCACTGCTGAGTCTCTGCAGGGAGGCGTCTAGCTAGAGCAGCCCCCACCCCTTCCCCACCCTGTCCCAGGAGCTGAGTGGAGCTCTTTCCGTGGACCTACTGAGCCCGGCTCTAGGTGAGTCCCAGGTGGCGCCTGCCTGGAATTGAGCCCTGACTGCACAGAGCCAAGCCCTGACCCTGCCCGACATATACCCACACTGTGCCATGCTCCCATGGGGCACAAGAGCCAGTCAGGAACACCAGCTGTCACCCAGACCCCAGGCTCTGTCCTGGGGAGCGAGAACTCCAGGGCAGCCCCTCCCAGCTCCTGACCACCCCTGGCACCTGCCCAGGGCCTGGCACCATTCCGACTGTGAGACCTCACGCCCAGCTGGGCTCCCGCCAGCCACCCTTGCACCCCAAACCCCTCCTGACACAGCCAGGCCTGGATCTCGCTCACCCCATCGGTGCACAGCCTGGTACGGGTTCTTCTCCAGGGACGCTTGGCGGATGACAGCAAAGTGGGCCCCAAAGTAGGTGAGAGTCACCATGGTGGCCACAGAGAGGCCCAGCAGCTGCAGACAGGGCAGAGTGAGTGTGGCCCCAGAAGGGAGGCCCTTGGCCCGGGAGGCAGCTCCCTGGTCCCATGAGAGGCAGGCTCAGCTGTAGGGTTTCTTGGGGTCTCTGTGGAATGGTCTCAGGGGCCTTCACTGCAGATGCCCCAGCACGCTCTCAGGCACCCACATGTGGCCAGGCAAGCACACACTCACAGCCCGGCTTCCCCAGGCACCGGGACCTCCAGTCATTCTGTCTGGAGTGGGAGTGAGCCCCACCTCGTGCCAACACCCTCCTGGGCAGAAAGGGAAGAAGATCCCTGGTGCCCAGCAGCCAGTGCCCCTCCAGCCCAGCTCACCCAGGCCTTGGCCCCCCCAGGCCTCCTCCAAGCCCTGCATTGCCCCTCAGGAGGAGAGATGGGCTGCCCACGGCTATCACTGCCAGCCAGCTGTCTGCCACCAGAAGCCCAAGGCACATGTCTGCAAGGGGACCGTAGAGCTGGTGTGTGTGTGAGGGGAGGGGTAGCCCCAGTGCTGGAGGCCTGGGGAGCAGGCTTCACCCCTGCTCACCCCCACCCACCACCCACTCCTGCCCTATTACCAAGACAAAGAAGCAGGTGACCAGCATCTGGCATTTGGCAACCCTGACTCGACTCCAAGGCCCCATGGCGGCTCCCCTCCTCTTCTCTCCTCCCCTCCCCTCCCCTCCCCTCCCTGTGGTTTCCAGCTGGGCAGGGACCTCAGACCACAGCTGCTGGCCCGGGAGGTAGGCTGCATCCGCCCTCTGTCTGTCTGTCAACAGGGCCCTAGGACGGAGCTGCTGGGTGCCCCGGAAGAAGGGCAGGCAGGAAAGGGAGTGGCAGCGAGGTTGGCCTCCTCACCCCACCTCACCCTGCTGCCCCCAGCTCGGCCCAAGATGCCAGGGCATTTGCTGACACCTGAGGCCCTTCGAAGCCAGGAGGACATGGCCTCATTCCTGGTGTGGCCACTGAGGACAGCGCTGAGAGCAGAAGTGGCGAGCAGGGCTGAGTGTGGGATGCGAGGAGCCGCGCCCGGAGGGGAGGGGTGAGCTCCCTGAACTGAGGGTGTGCCAGTGTGGACGGGGCCTTGGGGGCGTGATCGTTGGAGGAATTTGGAGACGGGTCTCCTTGGAACACCGTTATTGAGGTACTCTCAGGAAGCACCATTTGAGATGTCCAGTGACAGTTTAAGTTTTGAGAAGGTCCTGGTTTTTGATGCCTTCAAAACCCAAATACCCTAAGGGGTGTTTTGTTGCAGAACCTTCCTGGGACCACAGGGTAGGCTGCGTCCTCTCTCCCAGCCACGCGTGGCCTCCAGGGGGAGGCTTTGACAACCTCGAATTTGTAATCACACAAAACCATGTAATTACACGGGGGTGGGGGCCTCATTGCACGCCCCAGTACAGGCAGGGTTTTCGTGGCCTCTGGGCGAGGGTGGGCCTGGAGAGGGTGAAAGTGCTCCAGGTGAATCCCCGTGCAGGGACCACTCTGGGTGCTCCAAGGTGGTGATGACAGGTGGCTCTGCTAGCCCTCCCCACCTCTGCCGTCCCCTCCCGCCGGTGCTGAAATTGCTTCTCCTACCTTTGGTCAGGACCTCATGCGGAGGTGGGGGAGCCAGACCTGCAGATGTGGCCACCCAAGGGGCTGTGGGAGGATGGGTGGGCTGCCACCTGTCAGGAGCTGCTGGAGTAACTGCTCAGGCCTCCTCCTCCCTCCCGCTCCACCCAGCACCCCCAGACAGCACCCTTGGTCGCTCTGGTCCCCAGGAATTCCTGTCCTGAGTCTGAGGGGCTTGTGTGGACCCCAGATGCCTGGCACCCAGAGCATCACTGTAGCTGGAGGTCTCGGTGTGGCTCAGGCTGGGGTGCAGGTATGAATCCAGGGGTGGCAGCAAGAGTGAAAGTACCAGGTCCAGAGTCAGGAGGCCCCTGGGCTGTGCAAGTGGCCGGCTCTTGGCTATGTCCAGCGCATCCCTGGAATTGTCCTTCTTCGTCCTTGGCTGCCCTGGAGCCTGTGAGGCGGGCCCGGAGCACCACGCCTTCCTGGGGTGCCTCTTCGCCAGGTCCGAAGAATTTGGGAGCAGGGTGGGCCTGGGTTCTTGACCCGCCCTGGTGGCCACCTTCTCACACCAGCACTGTGCCCAGCTGGCCTCACTTGTCATCTCAAAGTGGCATCAAACCTCCCATCTGGTGGACAGAATCCCCAGGTTGGCCCTCCAGAGACCAGGTCTGACCACAGGCCCCTTCCCTATGCCCCACCAGTGGGGGCAGGGAGCTGGTGAAACCCTCATGCCCTTTGCTGACCACACCCACCCACCCTGACACCCCCTCTGCAAGAATACGTGGCTTGTTGAGGGGAAGCCACTGTGCAGGCTGCTGCCGGCCCTCACACACCCCTAGCCACCTGCTCTAGAGGTGGTGCTGCCGCTCAGAGACTGAAGGCCCCTAGAGCAGCTGGTTCAGCCCCAAGGGGCTGACCCAGGAGGACAGCTGCCCCCACCCCTACCCCACCAAGGAGCCTGTCCTAAGGGCCGGGCCGCACTGCAAGCCCTCCTAGGGGTCCCTCTCTTTATTTCCATGGAAGAGATCGGGGGTGGATGCATGTGCAGGAGTGGATGTGTGTGTAGGAGTGGATGCGTGTGATGTGTGTGCAGGAGTGGATGTGTGTGTAGGAGTGGATGCGTGTGATGTGTGTGCAGGAGTGGATGTGTGTGTAGGAGTGGATGCATGTGATGTGTGTGCAGGAGTGGATGTGTGTGTAGGAGTGGATGCGTGTGATGTGTGTGCAGGAGTGGATGTGTGTGCAGGAATGGATGTGTGTGCAGGAGTGGATGTGTGTGTAGGAGTGGATGCGTGTGATGTGTGTGCAGGAGTGGATGTGTGTGTAGGAGTGGATGCGTGTGATGTGTGTGCAGGAGTGGATGTGTGTGTAGGAGTGGATGCGTGTGATGTGTGTGCAGGAGTGGATGTGTGTGTAGGAGTGGATGCGTGTGATGTGTGTGCAGGAGTGGATGTGTGTGTAGGAGTGGATGCGTGTGATGTGTGTGCAGGAGTGGATGTGTGTGTAGGAGTGGATGCGTGTGATGTGTGCAGGAGTGGATGCGTGTGATGTGTGTGCAGGTGTGCATGACAGCGTTTACCTTCCAGACTTCCTTTTTCCTCTCTCCTTCCTGTGAACTCCTGGTTCCCAGGTGTCCCCGCTTGCTCCACAACATCCTTACCCACCAGAAGGCCCCTGGCTCCGCAATGCCACGCGCAGCCGCCCGGTCCTCCACCCATGGGGCCCTCATTCCACCTGCCACCACTCATGAAACTGGATCGCCCAGCTCTTCACTGGCTCGCCTGCGGCTACTGCCTCAGTTTACCTGCACAGTTGCCCCTGGCTATCTGGCTGGGTAGGACTTGTACTTAGAAGCAGTTCCCTCCCTGGGAAACTGTGTCCTAAGGCCAGGAGGTGGCAGCCTCTGCTGTCCCGAGACAGGGACCTGTGAGCAGCCAGGCTCTGTGGCTTGGAGCCTGGGGGCCCCCTGAGCTGTCTGTGAACACTGCGCCTCCCATCAGGGAGGCGCTCAAGAGCTTCCCACCTGTGTCACAGGGAGTGGGTCCTGGAGCCTGAAGAGACCTGTGGGGGCCACACGAGCACCTGAATTCGGCTCCTCTGTCCTTTCCCCTGATTCTGAAATTGTCCCCACAGCACAGGTGCATCGAGGGAGCTGCCTTTGAGGCCTCTCCTGAGCCCAGGGAGAAGGGCAGCTCCCCTTCCTGACCGCCCTAGGCCTGGGTCAGCTGGGTGGGCCCAAAGGGACTTCTGAACCCCCACTGCCCAGGCAGCCCCCTTTCCCTGGACGCCCCCTGGCCTGTCCCCTGAGAGCCAAGCCCATACTCAAACAGGGGGGTCTGGGTGCTGCTCTGCTCCCAGCCAGGGAGGTTCTGGGGCACGGTTGCCTGGGCCCGCCCTGTCAGTGCCGTGGACTGTTGCCCCCGCTGCCCAACCCCAGGGGACAGTGATGGGCACCCTGCTTTTCCCTGCCCCCATCCTGGGAGCCTAGGCCCTGCCCTCAGTAGAGACAGAGGCGACCCAGGGATGGCTGCCCCTGCATAGACATGGCTGCCTCCCAGGGGAGTCTAAGGGACCCAACACCTGCGTCACAGATGCCAGGGACAGACTGTAGGCGAGGCATCTCCATCCACATCCACGCTGAGCCACCCACTAGCATGTGGGGCCGGGCACCACCAAGCCTGCTGTCCCACCTGGGCCACCCCAGCCCGGGATGAGACTCAGCACTCCATGGGGGTGGAGTGGGGCAGGGGCAGGAGATGCCCGGAGTAAAAGCCGGATGTCTTCAGAGTGACCCCCTGGGGCTGGGCAGGGCTGGGGACCGGGGAAAGTCCTGCTGGCAGAGAAGCCCACACTGGCTCCTCCGCCGAACGGTCCCCACACTCCCTGTGCAGACGAGACAGCCTGCAGGGCAGAAGCTTCCAGCCCCATTCCTGGTGGCCAGCGTGTGCTTCACTTAGCCCTTGATGAAGAGAATAGTTTCTGACAAGCGGCTGTGGTGAGCTCCTGGCACTTTTAAAGCTTCAGTGTTGCCTCTCTCAGGAACCTAGAAGTGGACACCCGTCCCCATTCAGGCCAGACCCCAAGGCTCAAGGGTCAAGGCCCAGGCCCGTTGCCAGGCTGCCCTCTCGCTGGGACAGGTGCAAGGCCCCTTGGGAGGGGTATGAAGCTGCAGAGGATCTTTAAGCAGAGTGAGGACTAGGGAAGAGAAGGCTTTAGGAGGCGGGCTCAGTTTCAGCGTTCGCATGGACAGAATCATGTTCCTGCAGAATTCATAGGCTGAAGCCCTGCTCCCCAATTATATGGCATTAGGAAGTGGGTATCTGGGAGGTATTAGGGACAGATGAGGACATGAAGGTCCCTGGTCCCATAGGATTAGTGCCCTTATACAAAGAGACATTTGGGAGCTCCCTCTTCTCCTCTCTCTCTCTCTCTCTACCCCCCCTTTCTCTCTCTCTCTCTCTCTCTCTCTCTCTCTCTCTCTCTCTCTCTCTCTCCCTCTCTCTCTCTCTGTCCTTACGTGCACTAAGGGAAGGCTCTATGAAGACACACAGAGAAGGCGGCCATCTGCAAGCCAGGAAGAGTGCCCTCACCAAGACTGGAACCAGTGGCACCTTGATATTGGACTCCCAGTTTCCAGAACTGCAGGAAATCAGCCCCTGCTGTTTACATGCCCAGCCCGGGGTGCTTCCTAACGGCAGCCAGAGCTAACTGAGACAGCTCCCCGCACTCACCCATCCATTTGTTCATTCATTCATTCATTCACCTCACGTCTACTGCACAGCTCTGGGCTGGCTCTGGGAAGCAGTGAGTCACACACCGCCCCAGTGTGGAGTATGTTTAGAGACGGTGGATTACAGCGGAGAGGGCAGAGGCCCTGGGAACCCCAACAGGGCTGGCCCAGTTGAGCTGAGGCTGGCATGGGGAAAACTGGGGAGCCTCGGGGGTAGAGGTGATAGATGTGGGGGGTTTCAAGGCAGTGAGACAAAGAAGAGAGGTGGGTGGTGCCCCCCTCCCCCTGTGCCAGACGTCACCAGCCTCCCAATCCCTGAGTGTTCACCTGTCTGGATGAGACACTGCTGTGAACTTGGGAGTGAAGGTGGTGAGTTTGGGCAATGCTGGGGCCCATGCAGGTGAGAAGTGGGATGGGGCTCGAGGCCGGGGCCCAGGCAGGAGCCCACAGCCCGCCGGTGGTACTCACATGAGAAGCCTCAGGGGGCGGCTTGGGGTGTGCTGGGCTGTCCCCACACTGACACCCTGGCTGCAGGACCCCCTGTGTCCTGGCGATGGCTCTCAGGGTGGCTGTGTGGCCTACTCAGGGCCATCCCTACAGTCCATGCTCTTTGGGTCACCAGTTGCCAGCAGTGTCCGCCCCGTTTTGGGGAGTGGCCAAGGACCCCAGGATGGGAGGAAATGTGCAGTGGGGGCGTCCCTCCCATGTGGGCTGCACCCCTGCATCCGCTGGGGTGGCCTCTGCTTAGGGTGGTTTCAGGAGAGTTCTGATACTGTCAAACACCACCATCAGGAGCAGGGCAGACAAAAGAAAAGTGAGCTGATCGGGGTGTCCCAGTTGGGGGCTCGTAACCTTGAAGGAGGGCAGGGCACAGCCCAGCGGGGTTGGCCAGGAGGCCCTGGGCCTGTGGCTGAGGTCACATCTGACACTGGCAACGATCAGAATGGGCTGGCCCATGGAGCCCTGTGGCCTTGGTTGGTGGCTCATGGTGCCACAGGAACTGGAGCAATGGGTGGCCTCCCTCGTCCATTGCCTGAGTCAAGGAGGACTGGGTCCTTTGGGGAAGGACCCTGCCATACTCCTGCAAATTTACATTGTTCCTGTTTCCCCCAATCTCCCCCAGGGACCTACAGCCATTTGCTGGGGTGGCTAGTTTGGAAAGGGGGATCATCAGACTCAGAGGGATAACTGGACACTGGCTTGAACCTGCCACCCACTCCTGGGGACACAAACATCCCTTAGATCTAATAGTCAGAGGAGGGGCATGGAGGCCAGGTTGCCCACAGAATTCTAGCTCAGGTCCAACTCTTGGGGGGTACAGAGGTCACTTCCCCAGCCTGTGACAGGTCAGTAAACCACGTGGCAGCCAACAGAGTCCCCACATTTGTCCCCTGACCTGGGGGGGTGGGGGCTACTATGGTGGGAAAGGCCAAGTGGAAACCATTGGGGTGGAAAAATCATGAGTCAAAAGCAATCGGCAGCCCTGGAGGGACCACAGAGGTCAGTGCTGCCACTGAGGACTTGGAAGATGCCAGGTGGTGACCCCCACCACAGCCCCATTCCACTTGTCTAAGTGGTTTGTGCAGAAGACAGGGGGTACCTGGAGAAAGAAGGACAATGAATTCTGGTAAACTTAACCAGAACTCCAACTGCAGCTGCTGTTTCAGATGTGACTGCTGATCACCGGGGGAAATCAAAGCATCTCCAGACACCTGGTGTACAGTCACTGATCTGGTGGAAGCTTTGATTTTTAAAAGAGATTTTATTTTTTAGAGCGGTTTGAGGTTTACAGAGAAATTGAGCAGATTTGAGAGTTCTCATAAAGCACCTCTCCCTACACACAGTTTCCCCTATCATCAATATCTTGAATTAGTGTTTACATCTTTACAACCGAGGACCCAATATTGATCCAGTCATTGATCAGGTTACATGAGGGTTCCCTCTTGGTGTTGTACATTCTATGGGTTTGGGCAAATGCATAATGGCATGTGTCCACTATTATAGTGTCATGCAGAATTATTTCACTGCCCTAAAATCTGTCTGTGCTCCATTTATTCTTCCCTCCCTCCCCACTAACTCTGGGAATACCACTGATCTTTTCACTGTCTGCAAAGTTCTGCCTTTCCAAAATGTCACATAGTGGGAAGTTATACAATCCGAAAAGGCAGGGAGACTTCTTCAGATTGGCTGCTTTCACTCAGCGACATACACTTAGGGTTCCTCCACAGCTTTTCATTCTCTTTATCACTGAATAATATTCCATTGCTTGCATACACTAGAATTTGTTTATCCATTCACCTATTAAAGCACTTCCTGGTTGCTTCCAAGTTTTGACAATTATAAATAAAGTTGTACAAACATGAATGTGAAGGTTCTTGGGGGTGGATGCATGTTTTTAGCTTATTTGGGTAAACACCTAAGGCTGGGTTGTATGGTAAGACCATGTTTGCCTTTGTAAGAAACCACCATTAATTAGGTCATCCCTACATGGATCAGCATATCACATCTGAGCTGCCTTCAAGATCCAAAGACACCCATGAGGCACTGTGCTTCCTGGATTGCTGGATTGTATGGTAAGACCATGTTTGGCTTTGTAAGAAACCATCAAACTGTCTTCCGAAATGGCGGTCTCCTGTTGTATTCCCACCAGCTGTGACAGAGTTCCTGTTGCTCCATGCTCTTGCCACCATTTGGTGATGTCAGTGTTTTGGATTTTGGCCATTTTTATAGGCATCTCATTGTTGTTTTAATTTGCAATACTCTAATAACATGTGCTATGAATCCTCTTGTTATGAGCTTATTTGCCATCTGTATACCTTGTTTAGTGAGGTATCTGTTCATAACTTTTCCTGTTTTTACATCCAGTTGTTTGTTTTTTGTTGTTGAGTTTCAGAGTTCTTGGACTACTTTGGAGGCAAGTCCTTTATTAGATATGTGTTTTGCAAAGATTTTCTCTCAGTCTGTGGCTTGTCCTTTCATTCTTTTAACAGTGTCTTTTGCAAAGTAGAGCCCTTTATGTTAATGAAGTCCAGCTTATCAGCCATGATCCAGTGAATGCTTTTGATTCCTTGATACCTCTGAGTAAAGGCCACCAAAAGCTGGTTGCTTTCAGCTGGCAAGGGCAGCAATACATGTGCACTGCCCTGTTCTGGGATAGAGTATATTAACTCTATGTCATAATCCAGCCCACAGCGACCTTG